GAAAAGGTGTCCAGTCTGGGCCTCAGCTACCTTCTCCAAAGCCCCAGACAGTCCCTGCCTTCCCTGAGACTGCATGCTCCGTGTAGTCCTAGCCCTTGGGAAGCTGACGCAGGAGAATTGCTTGAGCCTGGGAGTTCGATGCCAGCCTGGGCAGTACAATGAGACCTTTTGCGATAAAAACATTTTATGGGTGTGTTGGTATAAGACAAATGTAACCCGGGCTACTCTGTCCTGTTAACATTCCTTCTCATATTTCTTTTCTCCTTTTGATTTTAAAGTAAACATCACCCTGAACATGTTCATTCCTACACCCTTGTTGCTGGGGCCTGTCAGGGATAGGGGCCACCCCTCACCCCAGGGGTGCCTGCTCCAGGGGCTGGCCAGAGGTCGGCCTGAGGTGTCCTCAATCTCCCTGGCCAGGGACTGGGTATGTGGTCTTGTGAGTGACCCGGCAGCCAGGCTGGGACCACCCAGTGCCCGGTGAGGGCTCACAGCAGGTCCATGCCAAGCCCGTGGGAGGATGTGTGAGCTGGTGGGCAACAGTGGGCAGCACTCTTGCAGGTGGTGAGTGTGCAGGGTGTGAGGGCACTGTAAGGACGTGGGGTGCATGTGTGTGCTATGCCCAAGCACAAGGTGAGAGGTAGCATGTGGTGCTCTGTGTGTGAGAGAAAACGCATGACATGAGCAGACCGACATGGTCACAGAAAGGAGAATGTCCCAGGAGCTCCTGGGCCGAGACAACAGCAGCCATGAGTATGGAAGAGCCTGAGCAGGGTACAGGGAAGGGGCACCATCCCTTGCTGGATCCGAGCTCACTGGGGAGCTTGGGGCTTGGGAAGCCAAGACTACAGCTGACACAGCAGACCCTGTCTGGGGGTCATGGTCCACTGATGGCTGGGCTCAGGCAGGGTTCACACAGGCACCAAAGGACAGTGTATAGGGGGTCACTTTCCTGCTGCTGGGACACAAAACCCACCACCACAACTTAAAGGAGGAGAGTTATAGTTTAGCTCAGTTTCAGGGGAGTCAGTCCATGGTCAGCTGGCTCCAACATCATGGCAAAAGAGTGTGGCAAAGCAAAGCTTTTTAGCTCATGGCATCAGGGAATCAGAGCAGGGGACAGCACTAGAGAGGAAGCGAGGACCAGACAGACCCCAAGGCCACACCAACATGAGACACCAGACACATCCAGAAGTGGCTTTACTAATCCTAGCGGTGGCTCCCAGGCCATTCAGGTAGGCAGAGTTGACCGTCACAGCATGCTTTGGGTACATGGCTGGAGCGGGGTATGCTGGGTGTCCCCACACCTGTGCCCCCTCATGTGTCCATACCATACGCCACTGGCTGCCGGAAACACAAGGCCAGTGTGGTGCTGTATGCGGAGAGTGATCTCAGAATCCGGCCTAGGCCCAAGCACAAGCACGCCTGGGCAGAGGGTATCTGGCAAGGCTTATGTGTGTGTGCCTTTTGTGTGTGCACAAGCATACATGGCAGAGTGTGTGGCAAGGCATGTGTGTGTATGAAGGAAGGAGCCCCAAGACTGGCTCTGTCTGAACCCAGATGCCAGTAAACCCACACCTGGGCAATGTGAGGTACAGAGAGGTCTCACCAGGCTAGGGCAGGGGGAGCTGGGCAGTAGGGGGATCTCGGGTTGTGGGGCCTCCGTGTCCCTTTCTGTCTGTGTCCTGCACATCCTATGTGGATTTGTTCCACACTCCCCCTGTGATGAGTCCCAGGTCCCTCCAGTTGAGTTTGGCTTGGTGATTGCAGGCGTGGTCTGAGCCGGGAGGGCCGGGGCTGCCTACAGACAAGACCAGGAGTGCAAGTGGCAGGCAGTGTGGAGTCCTCTGGGCTTTTCAGGTACCCGATGTGTGGGGCCCCAAGATGCAGACCTGTCTGGGAGGGTGCAGTTAGTGGGGCCTCAGGGACCCCAGTGTGAGATTCCTTGGGAACACAGCGGCTGCCCTGCGCACGTACACACAGGGCAGGCCGGGGTGCAGGGCCTGAGAGTGAGTGATGAGGGACCGTGTCTAGCACACAGAGGCAAGGACCTGGCTGCTGTTCCTGTCCCCAGAGCGCCTCAGTTAGAGAATCGGAGGCCCAGAGTAGGCAAGTGCTCTGCAGGGGCCACAAGCCCTGTGGTGTCACTTGCTAGTGGCTCATTCTGTTCCCTTGCTATGATTGGCTGCTTTGATGGTGGGCAGGATTTCCAGACATGCAGCAGAGCGTCCAGCCCAGTGTGAACCATGTGGGCAGCTCAGCATGCACCAGCATTGCCTGTGCCCACCTGTCTCCAGCCCTGTTTCCAACGAGGGTCACCGTTACAGGAGTGGGTGCCTGCTGTGGACCTCCTGGAAGGCATCTTCAGTGCACTAGGACTCTGGTTACACTGTCTCCTGCCCTGGCGGCAGGAGACCCCCATCCTGCCCACATGGGGGCCTGTGAGCTGCCTACTCCATCCCGCACCCCTGAAGGCTCAAGGCATCTCAGAGCCATGGCAGGGTCTGCAGGCAAAGGGTGGGGTACACTGGGCAGCTCCCAAGAGCGAGGATGGGACAGTAGTACCCTTCCAGTGGCCAGACTGGCAGAGGTCAGCTTGGTGCCATTGTGGAGGCTCCGACCCCTAGGTCAGTGGGAGGGAAGTGGCTCCTGACGAGGACCCTAGTGAGATTGGATGGGTCTTGGTTCTCTCTCCAGCAACACCCCAGCGTGTGGCTTCTGAGGTTCCCTCAGCTGCCCCTCATTGTGGCCCTGGGGGTCCCCCAGGTGGCAGGGCCCAGCCTGGCTCCCCAGGTCCCACACTGCCCTCATGGCCTGAGCAGCACGACAGAGACCTAGACATCTCCAGGGATGACCTTAGCTGCATCCCAGGCTCTGGCCCAGCACTTCACCCACCCTGGGCCAGGCGTGACCAGAACAGGCAGGCTCCCTTCCAAGCTGGCCTTTTTCTTTTCTTTCTAGGATCAAACCCAGGGCCTTTGCACACAGCCGTCTCCCAGCCCTTTTTATTTTTTTATTTGGGAACAGGGCCTTGCTCAGTCACCGAGGGGCCCTGCTCAATCTCTGAGCTGTCTTTGCGCCCATCCTGGGGAATGGTCCAGGATGTGCAGTGCCTTCTGGTTCCCACTGGGGTCCTCTCCTCTGCCTGCTGGGCCCATTTGGCCTTGGACTTTGCCCTGGCCCCAGGGACCACACCCTCTGTAGGTGCCCAAGGAGGGCCACGCAGGAGAGCAGAAGAATCAGTCACTTGGCCTTGAGCATAGGGTTCAGGTCGCTGCTTTGTGTGTCAATGTTTTTTGTGCATTACAGAATTATTTGAAGTTTTTAAAATGGGTTGTAAGTGGTTTTTGCCTCTTTACCCATCTTTTAAAGATATCTTGCTATTTGTTATCCAGAAGTCTACCTAAACTGAACCTTCTTAATCATTTTCAACTGTACGGGTTCAGAACCATCAAGAACACTAATAGTGCTGCCCAGCCTGGGGCACAAGCCTGTAATCCCAGCACTTAGGAGGCTGAGGCAGGAGGATCCCTGTGAGTTTGATCCCAGCCTGGACTACACAGCAAGACCCTTTCTCAAAAAACCAAAACAAGAAAAACAAAACAATATCCATGGTGGGCACTGTGCAGCCATCACCACTGTCCACCCACAGAACTTCCCCACCCACCCAGTTAAACCTCTGCCCATGAAGTGATGATTCCCCAGCCCCACCCCGGGCCCCCATCAACCACTGTCCAATTCTCTGTCTCTAAATGGGACTGTTTCCAATACCTCATAGAAGTGAGGTGCAGGGTCAGTCCCTTTGAGACAGGCTGTGTCCCTCAGCAGAACTTTTCCTTCTGAGGACTCACTAGTACTCTATTGTAACAAACGCTGTGGTGAGCAGTGCTGCTATGAGTGAATGTGCAAGGCCCTCTATACGCAGCTTCAAGGTCTGGGTCTGGACTCAGGGCTGGGGTGGTGACAGCTGGGTCATGGCGAGTCTGCGTGTGACGCTTTGAGGAGTCACACCATGTCCCAGGCGGCTTCACCGCTTTGCATCCGCCCTCCAGCAGTACACAGGGCTCTCACACGCACTGAGAATGCTTTTTAGTTTTAAAGCCTGGGTGTGCACAGCCGCAACACAGGCGGTGAGCTCCGTGCGGGCCCAAGCCAGGCGCGGCCAGCATCCCAGCTTCTCAGCCCCACATCCACCCTCTGCCTAAGATTGGTGTTCCAGTCTTTTAGGTGGGACTTTCGTAGGTGGAGACCTGAGTCTCAGCTGTGCCATGTCAATGTGTAGATACCGCGCAGGACCTGCCCGTGGGGACAGGACACTGGCATCCTCAGGACACTTTCCTGCTGTTCCCAGGCGACTCACCCCCTCGGCAGCTGTCCGATTGCTCACCGGGTTCACTCTGGAAGCCGTGGTGCATGGCCTTCTGCCATGACTTCGGTGTGTATGGTGTCTGTGGGACCTGTACCGTGGCCTCATGTCGCAGGAGCACATCCTTTGTCACTGTGTGGGGTTCCATGCTTCAAACCTGCCGACCAGAGGGCATGGATGCCGCTGTAAATAATCTTTATGTGTATGATCAAAGTCTTGCGTAGGTGTGTTTCCACCAAACTGTGGAACTTCTGGGTCCTGGGCAGCAATGGGCTTAGGTAAAGGTCAGTCACTCTCTTACCCAGGGCCACCTTTGTTGCTGGTCACCACCGCCTGCCCTGCTTGTCTGGCGGTGTCTCGGGCCCTTGCCAACTACAGTATTATGTTCAGAAGCCAATGTGAACTCTGGGGTTTAGGTGCTCAGGAAACTAAGGTGGCTGGTGGTGATTCTGCCACATCTTATTTCTGCCTTCTCCTCCTCCTCTCTGTTGTAACGAAGTGTTTTCAGCCATTGTGTACAAGCTCTTGTGTTTCTGTTCTTTGGACCAGAAGTGAAGAATCCTGTTAAGACCAGAAATTTAGGTTGATGGCTTTCTTGTCCCTGCCTTCCTCTCTTGGCCCCTGCCTCCTGCAGCCCCTCTGGGCCTGTACTTCCCGAGGGATGCCTACTGGGAGCGGCTGTACTTGGACCAGCCATCTGGCACACCGCTGCTCTACGTGCATGCCATGCGTGACACACCTGGGGAGGTGCCCAGCTTCCACCTTGGCCAGCACCTCTATGGTGTCTACCACAAGCCGCTGCACAGGAATGACTGGATCCGTGTGGAGGACACCGGCCTTCTCTACCTCAACCGCAGCCTGGACTTCGGCTCCTGGGAGCAGCTCAGCCTGAGAAGTAAGGACAGCCAGCACTGCTCCAGCCTATCCAGCTTGGGCAGAGGCAGCCCACAGGCTCCCGTTGGGGTGGGTGGGGCAGGGGGCAAAGGCGGCACTGGTGCCCGTGTCAAGTGGTGAAGGAGTCTTCAAGGGCCTGGGTGGCCCTTGGGCCTCCTGAGATTACAGGATTTGAGGACCTATTCAATGGTCTGGGTGTTCACTACAGCCCTTCCAGGAAGCAGTGAGGGTTTGAAGGTTGTTAGGGGTGCAGCGGGCTGTAAAAGCCTCAGGGCTTGATTCAGCCAGCGCCCAGAGCTCGCTGGAAGAGCAGCAGTCCCAGAGAGCTTCTCCCTCCTGCAGGCAGGCACTTGGCCTGGCTGAGGGGTCCCGGAAGGAAGGCAGCGTGGGAGACCTGGCCAGAGCCTGAGTCTCAGCCTGGTTGCACCCAGTCTGGGGAAGGGTAGATCAAGTGCCTCCGGTTTACATCAGCCCCAGCCCTGGTCCAGCTGGGGTCACTGGGCAGGGAAAGGCCTAGGATAAGCAGCTGGCCAGGTCTTGGAGGAGGTGGCCTGAGTTCTAGGTATGTCTGCTTATGGCCAGGCTCTTCCTGAGCCCCATGGCGTCTGCATTTCCTGGGAGGCCCAAACCAGCTGTGTCTGGACACTGCTGGGCCCCATTAGGGAAGGAGCCTAGGGTTTGTGTGAGGAATGACTGATGGCTGGGAGTAGATGAAGCAGGGCAGGCTAGGGAGGAGCGGAGTGAGCAGACAGGGAAGCAGCCAGCGCCCCAGAGAGCCCCATCCTGCTAGACCCTGGCTTTCCTGCCATGTGGTGCCATGGTGGGAGTACCATGGAAATGTCCTCCAGTGGCCAGAGATGTCTGTCCTTGGTGGGTCCCAAACAAAGTGCCAGAGCAATGAGCTGTGCACAGGAGCTCACCGGGGAGCTGCCACCATAGGAGGAGGGGACATTGTGAGGCCAGTGCCAGTAATAGCCGGTGGGCATGGAGGGATAGGTGCTGCACCCTCAGAGCCCTGCATGGAGCTGGGAGGTAGAGGCAAGAATTGCTGGATGTAAACCTTGGGCCCCTATGTGCCCTGTGCCCCATGCCCACCAGAGAGGTGAGGCCTGTGCCCGGCCTGACTCTTCTCTCCCCACAGACGGTGGCTTCCCCCTGCTGACCATCTTCCTCCATGTCTTCCTGTCGTCCCCACCCCTGCGCGAGGGCGAGTGCCACTGGCCAGGGTGTGCCCGAGTGTACTTCTCCTTCATCAACGCCTCCTTCCCGGCCTGCAGCTCCCTTTCATCCCGGGAGATCTGCTTCCCGGAGAACGGGCTGTCCTTCCGAATCCGAGAGAACAGGCCACCCGGCACCTTCCACCAGTTCCGTCTGCTGCCCGTGCACTTCCTGTGCCCCAACATCAGTGTGGTCTACAGGCTCCTGCAGGGTGAGCGGTTGGTCACTCCCGGGCCTGTGCTGGCCCCGTGCTGGCCTGACGCCAAGGCAGTGGCTGGGAACATCACAAGCTGGCGTCCTCCCATCCCCAGTGCCAGCAGATTCTGAGAGGACGGGAAAAGATGGGGTGGGCATAGTGGAGATGCTGACTCAGCCAGGTGGGCAGGGTGGGGGCCGCAGGGCAAACAGGAACTAGAACAGGTGACAGGGCTAAGGCTGGGGAGCACTATTCCCTAGGCCTGAGAGCAGCCTTCAGGCCTTTGTACCTTGAGGGGCATGGGAGCCATGGAAGGCTGACTCGTCTTGAAAAGGATCAGCCAGACTCCAGCCTTGGGCATGGTGTGAGGTTGCAGGTGTAGACAAAGCAGGGAAACAGAGGCTACACAAGATCTCTGAGCCAGACAATGGGGCTGTGTGAGCCTGGAAGCCAGCAGGTCCCTGAGAAGCAGGGGACCAGGGATTTGATTCCTTCCTTGCCTGGCTGTGGATGTTGCAAGTTGTCCCTTAGCTGGGCATGGTGGCGCACGCCTGTAATCCCAGCACTCAGGAGGCTGAGGCAGGAGGGTTGTTGCAAGTTCTAGACCAGCCTGGGCTACAAAATGAGCTCAAGGCCAGTCTGAACTCCATAGCGAGACCCTGTTTCAAAAAAAGAAAGAAAGTTGTCCCAAGTATTGTTCTGAGCAGCCGGGGAATAGCCAGCATCTCTGGAAGCTGGGCTGGGGAAGGCTGTTGTGAGACAGGTGGTGACCACAGGGGAGAGGAGAGAATAAGGCTGACCACCTATGGAGGCCCCTCAGCTGGGGACATGGGGCCACACTGCTGTGGGGCTACACCAGGCCCACACTCACCAGCCTGGTGACAGCATTGGTGAAATCTCCACAGAAAAGGTGAAGCCACCACTGAACACCCAACAAGGGCTGTGGTTTTACTTCTCATGCTTTCCAAGAGGAGCAAAGGTTGCCCCCATAATGTAAACACCATTAGCACTGCTCTTAGAGACGCCCAGTGCCTGGCTGGCTGTTCAACCCACCTTGTCCCCGCCCCCAGGTGATGGTGACAGCGGCCCCTTCCGCTGTGCCCAGGACAGCCTGGAGGTGAGCACGCGCCGTGCGCTGGACCGAGAGCGCCGTGAGCGCTTCGACCTGGTGGCCGCGTGTGTCGTGCGGTCCGGCGCGCGTGAGAAGGAGGTGCGGGAGCCCTTCCCCGTCACCGTGTACGACGAGGACGACTCGGCGCCTAGCGTTGCGGGGGCCGCGGACACCGCCAGCGCCGAGGTGACCTTCCGGCGCAAGGAGGTGCGAGCGCGCCGGGCCCTTAGCTGTTGCCTGCTCCATCCTGCGGGCCTGGGGAGGGAGCACCAGCTTCAAAGGCAGAAAGGCGCTCCCTGGGAACCTGGAAGCTCTTGCCTCTGGACAGGGAGGGGAACCTCTGTGCCTGCAGGAATTTGCAGAGGGGGAGAGGGTCTTTATGGGCGTGGTCTCTTGTGGTGGGCTGTGGGCGAGGTATCTGATGGGCGGAGCCTTGGTGGGCTGGAAAGGGGCAGGGGCTTTCTGGGCGTGGGCTCTGGTGGGCGTGATGACGGGGGTCTCCTGATTGCTGTGGGCGTGGCCTCCTTTCTTGGGGAGCAGTGGCCCAGGCCACCCCGTTGCGAACTCGGCTGTTGTCAGGGTTCAGGTTGGCCTGGATCCTCTGATAGCCCTTCCATCCTCCACAGGGCACGGTAGTGGCCACGCTGCGCGTGTTCGACGCAGATGTAGTGCCTGCCTCCGCAGAGCTAACCCGGCGCTACACCGGCACCCTGCTGCCCGAGGATCCCTGGGCCCAGCAGCATTTCCGCCTGGAGCATGTGCCCAACGAGACCCGTGTGGCGGCTGAGGACGGCAGCACCGTGCGGGCCACTGTGCACGACTTCAGTAAGGGGGGGGCCATCTATCTGTCAACACACACCACACGTGTGCACACCTCACATACTGTGCCGTGTATGCACACCACATGCTCCTGTGTACACCTCACACACTGCATAGGCACACTGCCCATCCATGTGTGTTTCCTGCACACGGCACACCCTGTGTACACACATTGGGCTCCTGTCTACACCACACATGTTCCACACTGTGCATACCATACACTCCCATGTGTACACTGCACAAATAGCACACCACACACATTACAAGTCACTCGCATGTGTACACCCACACACACCGCATATACCTATCATACCGTGCATACACCCATACTCGCCATATGCATCTCATTCACATCTCATACTCTGTGCACACTGTCTGTACATATACCGTGCAGGTCCCCTCCACAGCACACACCTTTCACACACACACGCATATGCACACAAGTGCTGCACTGATTGAGTCAGGCTCCTGGGGCACACAGCTCAGCCAGGCAGCCAGCATCCATCCTGGGTCAGCTCTCAGGGCTGACCCAGGCCTGTTGTCTGGGCTCTGCATGTGAAAGTACGTGTTGTGTGTGCACATGTGTGTGCAGGCTGTGTCTGGAAAGAGGTGCTGGGCTGTGGTCCAAGCCTGGTTGTCATCATCATGTCCCTGCCTGCAGAGCTGGTTCTCAACCAGAGTCTACCGATCTCGGAGAGCCGAACCCTGCAGCTGGATGTGCTGGTCAATGACTCCACCTTCCAGGGCCCAGGCTCAGGCATCCTTCTCCTCCACTTCAACGTGTCAGTGCTGCCTGTCCACCTGCGCCTGCCCAGCACCTATGCCTTCTCCGTGAGCAGGCAGGCCCACCGTTATGCCCAGGTGAGGGCAGGGAAGCTGGAGGTAGGCTGACTGGCTGGTGATGCCCAAATAGCCAGGTGGGCTGTAGACGCAGGCCCGGGGACCTTGCCGAGGCACAGCTTGGGGCTCCTTGAGCCCTTTGGTTCTTTCCTCTTCCTCCTCGGCACCTTTACAATATATTTTCCACTAATGTAAGAGCAATACCATGTGAATCTGTGTGTGCTAACTGGGAAATAGGCCCTTGGTAGATTTTTGGGGTGGGAAGGTGTTTGCAGAAGAGGTTTCGGGGCCCTGTCTCTGCAGGAGCAAACCTAGCTCTGTCTGCAAGTGTACAGCGTGTAGCAAGCAAAGGCGCCCTCTAGGGGAAGATGGACACCTCGCTTTTACTAGGCAGGTGTATCTGCCAGAGCTTGCAGTGTGCATACATTTGTGCCAGAAAGAAAAAAAGTCAAATGTGGCCAGATAAAGCTATAAGTACTTACTAAAGATGAGGAGGGGGAAGAGTGCCCCTTCCACACCCACAGCCGAGTGTGCAGTGTATTTCAGCATTTTCTCAGCCCAGAGTCCATGTGCATGGCTTCTTCTCATGGAGTGGCACATCCTCTGCAGAATGTCACATCAAGCCTGGGACAAGGCTCCTCTTGTCCCAGTGATTTGCCAGTTCTCCCTGTTGGTCCTGATATCAGCCCAGAGGGACTCATCCCTATGCTGGAAGGGACCCATCTCTGAAAGTTGGGCATGGGCAGCAGCGTCGGGTATTGGGTGACAAGCACAGGGTGCTGGGAGCACAGACCCTGTGGGTGGAGAGCCACCTGCTCTCTCTTCTGCATCTTGCCTCAGACTCTGGGTCTTCACCCCTCCCGTGGGGAAGGGTTGCCTGACTGCACTGGGCCCTGGCGGGGCAGCCTCAGGGATGACTGGCCCATGGGCAGCACCTGCCCCACCTTGACCCCAGGAGCTCTTGGCTTTGGCTGTTGCAGCCGTTGGTCTTGAGTGGCCAAGAGGTACAAAGTCCAGCTGCCTGGCCGTGGGGCTTAGCATCCCTGGAAGGAAAGGCTCCCATCTCCAAAGTCCCAGGTTGCCCCCTTGGTCTTGTGGGGACCAGGTGTCTGTGCTGCATTAGTTGCACTGCTGGCAGGCATCAGGGCAGGGTGTCGTCCTCACCTCTGGCTCCCAGGAGCAGAGGTAGCAATGACTCAGTGGCTTGGGCAAGGCTAGCATGGACAGGCAGGTCTACAGCCTGGGGCATTCAGGGGCTGCTGTCCCAGGTCATGCGGGAAACAATGTGAGGCCCCACAACTGCTGAGCCACCCTGTGCCCCCAGGTTGGCAAGGTCTGTGTGGAGCACTGCCGGGAGCTCAGCGGTGTCCATGTGCAGTACAAGCTACAGCCGTCCAGCACCAACTGCAGCGCCCTGGGGGTGCTCAGCTCGGCCAAGGACACCTCAGGGACCCTGTTCGTGAATGACACGGAGGCTTTACGGCGGCCAGAGTGTGATGAGCTGCAGTACACAGTGGTGGCCACCGACCTGGAGACCCACGTCCAGGCCCAGGCCATACTGCTGGTCACTGTGGAGAGGACATGTGAGTCCAGGCTGGGAGGAATCACCCATGGTTTCTTCCTGAGCGTGAGCATCCTCCCTGTGCCGGAATCCCGGTGCCTTCTCAAAGCCCGGCAGAAAGCTGGTGGGGACAGTATGGCTGCGTGGTGAACATCCTGATTACCCGGTCTGTGTGTCCTATACAAGCACTCGCCTTGAGGCTGCTGGATAAGATGCAGGACCAGGACCCAGGTTAAACTTAAGTTCTGCATAATCAGTATGCAGTTGATTGGAGCAGGCTGATGCTTCACAGTCAGGGCGTTTTCAGTGGCTGACCCGGGGTACAGGTGGAAAGTCCCACGTTCAACTTCGTGTCAGGTCACAGAACGCAGCGCACGGAGACTTCCAGGGGGAATTAGGTGGGCTTGGGGCTCCATGACAGATGTGCTGTGAGCCAGAGCAGACTTCCCACTTAGCCTTGGTCCCACCCAGGACGCCTCGGTCTGCCCATGTGACCGTCCCAAGATCAGAATATGGAGCTTCTGTCCAACTCTGCACGTGAGGGACACTCAGTCCGAGGAGGCTCACAGTGAGGTTTCTCGGAAATCAAAGTTCAGTGCGTCCTATCTGCATTAGGGGCTGACATTCGCAGAGCATGTATCCCATCTTTAACTGAGCGAGGTGCTCCTGGTGTGTGGTATGACACCAAGCCAGCTACCCTCAACCCATCCCTGTCTTTCCTTCTCCAAGGAGTGGCCCCCCCACCTGTGACCCAGGTGCCCCCATCCCACTACGCTACTCTGGGTTACCAGGCCCAACCTGGGGACGGTATGGCCCCTGTAATCCTTTCTTGTCTGCCCCTCAGATGTGGCTGAGGCAGCGGGCTGCCCCCTGTCCTGTGCGGTCAGCAAGAGGCGCCCCGAGTGCGAGGAGTGCGGTGGCCTGGGCGCCCTGTCCGGCCGGTGTGAGTGGCGGCAGGGTGACGGCAAAGGTGAGCCAAGCGGGGTGCTGCTCAGGGGCAGGTGGCTCCAAATGTGGGCCCCATGCCCAGCCTGCCTGACTCCAGCCTGCCAATCCTTAGATGCCCACAGCACCAGGGAGGCCCTGTCGTTGGGACCAGAGGTGCCCAGGTTGATGCATTGCCCATTGGGCGGGTCAGGGTCAAGGGTAGACGTGCGGGACAGTGGCTTTCATTGCACCCCCACTGCAGTGAGCCACCTGTCACCATGGCTGTCCACTGGCGACCCTGCCAGGCCTTCCGCGGTGGCCAGGGGTATATGATGGTTCTCTTCCTGGGCCTCAGTTCCCCTTTCTAGAGGGACACACTGGGCCCGGGAGGCCATGGGGTGTCTTGAGTGGCAGCATCCATGTGGTGACGGCTGTGTCACACTGCAGGGATCTCCAGAAACTTCTCCACCTGCTCCCCCAGCATCAAGACCTGCCCCGATGGCCACTGCGATGTCGTGGAGAACCAGGACCCCCATATCTGCCCCCAAGACTGCCTGCGTAAGCTGAGGACGGCGGGGCTGGCAGGGGGCAGTGGCCAAGTCCATATGTAGGAAGCAGGCTGGGCCTCCGTGCAGCCCCAGCTTCCATCCCTGGCATGACCACAGGATTAGGTGTCACGGTTGTGAGGCCAAGCCAGGCTCCGCCCACCTCTTACCTGGACAAGGGTTCTGTCCCAACTTGGTGGCCCTGGTGCCTAGCCTCACTTGCAGCCCTGCATTCTCCTGCTCCCTGTGGGCCACCCCAGTCCGGCTCTGCTCCTGAAACACCCAGGGTGCTTTCTGGGAGCTCTGCAGGGCCCCTGGGCATCTGGGTTCCTCTTCCACAGCTAGGGAGTTGGCTTGGGGGGGTTCAAGGCAGAACCCCTTGCCCAGGTGAGCAGCGCTTGACTCAGCCTACAAACCTAGTCATGGGGTGGGAGGAGCCCTCGCATCCATGGACTCTGGGCTTCAGGCCACCCTGGGTAATCATTACATCTTTCATCAGGGGGCAGCATCGTTGGGGGACACGAGCCAGGGGAGCGCCGGGGGATCAAAGCTGGCTATGGCACCTGTAGCTGCTTCCCAGAGGAAAGAAAGTGCTTCTGCGAGCCTGAGGACAGCCAGGGTGAGGGTGTGGCTGCTAGGAGGAAGAGTACTGCAGATTCCAAGTCTGCACGTGGCTAAGCCTCAGTTTCCCCATGGGTGCAGCCCAGGAGAGGCACAAGGGCCTCTGCAAAGAGTCTGCTGCCCCGTGTTCTTTGATGAGGGCTAGGGCAGTGCAGAGCTGTTCCTCTGACACCTGTCCCTTCCTGGGCCCATCCCCTATCCCTATCCAGCTGTTATCTTCAGGTCCCTATTACCTGATATGGGAGGCACAAGCCACAATGAATGCACCAGGGATTCTTCCTGCCACACCCAGGGACATTCACAGTACCTGACTTGTGACAGGGCCCTGGTCCAAGGCTCTGCCTCCATGTCCTCTCCTCCTACCCTTGGTGAAGGAAATTCCAGGGGCTTTGGGAATGGGCATCCGACTCCCTGGGACCCCTAGGGGGCTGGTGCAGAGGGTGCTGCAACAGCTGTGTGACCTGGGCAGGCCGCCCAACCTCTCTGTCCCAACAATGGTCAGGAGGAGGTAGTCCGGGGTGGCGCAGGTCCACTGATGGGTGCCTCGGCCTCGCTGCTAAGGGTTGTCCACCCGCACAGGCCCGCTGTGTGATGACCTGTGCCGCACAGTGATCGCAGCAGCTGTGCTCTTCTCCTTCATTGTCTCGGTGCTACTGTCCACCTTCTGCGTCCACCGCTACCACAAGCACGCACACAAGCCGCCTATTGCGTCTGCAGAGATGACCTTCTGCCGGCCCGCCCAGACCTTCCCAGTCAGCTACTCCTCAGCAGGGGCCCGCCGGCCCTCGCTAGACTCCATGGAGAACCAGGTCTCTGTGGACACCGTCAAGATCCAGGTGAGGGTCCCCACCCCAGGCAGCCGCTCCTCACTCAGGCCTCGTCCCTGGGTTCCTCGATGGCTGTGTCTCTCTCCTTCTCACTTCTCTCTCCGCCATGGCCCCCAAACCCACACAGGAGGACCCAAAGTGGGAATTCCCTCGCAAGGACCTGGTTCTCGGGAAGACCCTGGGAGAGGGCGAATTTGGGAAGGTGGTGAAGGCCACGGCCTTCCGCTTGAAGGGCAGAGCTGGCTACACCACAGTGGCCGTGAAGATGCTGAAAGGTACGTGGAGCCACAGGGTTGAGCACAGGGCAGCCACGCCCCTGCAGAAACAGTAGAACATGTGGTGTCCTGGGCTATGAGTGCTGCATCTGCCTGTGACACTTGTGCCCCCCATCCCGTGGGGTCCTGTGAGGAGCTTCTACCAGGAAGCCAGCTCCTCAGCCTTCACACCTTCCAGTGACCATGAGGCCAATGGCCTCCCCTATGGCCAGGCTCCAACCTTGCAGGTGCAAGACAGTGGTAGCTGGCATGTGGCATACAGCCCTTGTCATGGGGCAAGGTGGGGGCTACACAGAAGGGTGCTTTGATGTGTGCCCGGACCCCTAGTGTGCCGCTGGCCTCAGCTCTGTGGGGTACTGTGAGGCCCTCAGGAGATCCTGGTCCCTGTTCACTGAGTGAGATGCTACGCCATCCCAGCACAGTGGCCTCCCAACCTCTGTCCAACTATCTTCCAGAGAATGCATCCCAGAGCGAGCTGCGTGACCTGATGTCTGAGTTCAACCTCCTGAAGCAGGTCAACCACCCACACGTTATCAGGCTGTACGGGGCCTGCAGCCAGGATGGTGAGTGGGCCGATGGCTCCACCCCTTGCACCCCTGCAGCCCTAGGGTTCATGCCTGTCATGCTCCTGGGTCCCCATTTGTTGGCTGTGCTCCAAGGACTTGGAGGTCCTGGGTGTGTGTGGCCTCCAAGTGGCCTGACCCAGACCCACACAGCAGGACACTGCCCCCATTTCTCAACCAAGGATGAGGAGACCATGTCATATGTCTTGGTTTCCATCTTTCAGTGCTGCCCAGGGCTCTTCAGCATTTGTGTGTATGCACGTGTGTGTATGAATGTGCTCAGGGACAGGGTAACAAGCACCATGCTGGCACCAGAACTGCTCAGACTTTCCCAGGGCTTCCCACCTCCACTGGCCCTCAGAGCCTTGCAGTAGTGAATGAGGACACAGGAAGGGCTGGGGCTCCTAGTGATCATTGTTCCCTGGAGGGAGCTGGTCCCCACGGGGGTGGATGTGGGGATTCTGGGTCTTGCATTCCCCAGAGCCACCCTAGCAGGACTGTGCCAGGGTCCTGTGCCCACTGGGTGACAGCTGCCACACCTGTCCATGTGGCCTCATGCCTGCTGTTCCTGCCCCCAGGGCCACTCCTCCTCATTGTGGAATATGCCAAGTATGGGTCCCTGCGGGGTTTCCTCCGGGACAGCCGCAAGGTGGGACCCGGCTATGTGGGCAGCGGAGGCAGCCGCAACTCTGGTGCCCTGGACCACCCGGACGAGCGGGCGCTGACCATGGGTGACCTCATCTCCTTCGCCTGGCAGATCTCCAGGGGTATGCAGTACCTGGCTGAGATGAAGGTAGGCATGGGCTGTGCACCCCAGCCCTCCTCATCTCACCGCAGCCCTGCCCAGCCCACCCGCCAGCCACCTGAGGGGCCCACTGTCCTTCCCCACAGCTCGTGCACCGGGACCTGGCAGCCAGGAACATCCTGGTGGCCGAGGGCCGGAAGATGAAGATCTCGGACTTCGGGCTGTCCCGAGACGTGTACGAGGAAGACTCCTATGTGAAGAGGAGCAAGGTACGCTGTAGAGTGCACCTCAGGGGGCAAGGTGGGTTTGGGGCCCTCAGGTCCCACGGACAGATGCAGCAGCTCTCCGGGGACTGAACTCATTCAAGCTGCCAACCCCGTTCTGCCCCCTATAGCTCGGGGTCTTTGGGGTGCTAACGTTGTCCCTCCCCAGGGCAGCCAGCTTGACCTCAGTTTTGTCACTGTCTCCACCACTCTCCCAAAGCCTGGTGATGGTCCGGGTGGGGCAAGTTTGTGACCAGGGCTCATAAGCTGACCCCACAGGAAAGGAATAGCACTGGATGCAGCTTCTTGACTGAGCTCTGCTGAGGAGCAGGAGCCACTGCTGCTGGTCTTAAGGGCCTTGTTTGCTTTTTCTCGGGTTTCCATGGCAAGAGACTGCAGGGCCACTGAAGGGAAAGAGGGGGGCTTCTGCCATCCCAAGCAATGTGATGGCACCTTCCTGTGACACAGAACTGGGAGGAGGCTGCAGCCTCACGGACAGTCTCCGCCCCGGGAGTGGATGTGAACACAGGGTCTCAGACAATCCTTTCGGGAAAGTTGAACTGCAGTAAATGCTGTGGTGCTAAATCAATGCTCCTGAGGCTTTGTAGAGGAGGTAGATGTGGCCTGCACATCTATAGTCCGTAGGGTGTGCCCTAGGACCACTCGCCCTGTGTGGCAGTAGGCAGCTACCAGCACCCACCAGCGTCTCAGCAGCTCCCTGCAGCTGCAGCTGGGACTGGGGCTCCGGGCCTTGTGGCTGGCCCGGACCCAGGACTCCCAGAGGTGAGACTGCATAGTCACACGAGTGCCCCCTACAGGGCCGAATTCCTGTCAAGTGGATGGCGATCGAGTCCCTGTTCGACCACATTTATACCACACAGAGTGATGTGTAAGTGTGGCTATGGCTGTCCAGCGGGGTGGTGGAGGGTGCGGTGCCCTCTGCATAGCTTGGCCAGAGCAGTGCTGGCCATGAGGGCAGGGGACTCAGGGGACAAGAGGGCAGGAGGGCCATCAAGACCCAACTGACATCCAGTGTGGTCATTCGTGGCACTGGGGGCTGGCAGGCCTGGCGGCAGTGGGGTAGATACCTGGACCCTGGCAGGTAGAGACGCTCATTGTCCTCTTGCAGGTGGTCCTTCGGGGTCCTACTGTGGGAGATTGTGACCCTGGGGGGCAACCCGTATCCCGGGATTCCTCCCGAGCGACTCTTCAACCTCCTAAAGACGGGCCACCGCATGGACAGGCCGGACAACTGCAGCGAGGAGATGTGAGCGAGTTTGCTTCATCAGCCACATTCTGCCCCACACACTGGGCCTCCCATGGAGGGGATACAGCCGCTCACTTCCTATCCAGTCATCCCTGGGCCATCACCCTGGGGAGTGCAGAGTAACAGAGCAAAGAGCCCTGTTACATAGGGGCAGACGCTGGGGCAGCAGCAGGCTATGGGACAGTGAGCCCAGGACCCCATAGAATACAGGCAGGTGCTGGAGGACGCCCAGCCTGAGAGCACCAGAGCCATCCTGTTTTCTACCAGGTAGTTCAGCCAGATGGTCCCATATGATTCCAGAAGGCTCAAGATAGTTCCAGAAGGTGCTAGATAGCCCCAGATGGTTCCACATATGGTGCCAGGTGGTTACAGGAAGCAGGGTGAAAATAGACAAGAAGGGGCTGTCCAGAGGCAGAAACCTGTGCCACAGTCTGTGCCTTGCTTGGGATGTGGTACCCAGCCGGCACCACAACCTCAGTATGTTCTATGTCACTGCCCATTGGTCAGGCCTGGGCTCCTTCAGAGGTTAGGAACATGTCAGTCAGAGGTGTAATGAGCCACCCACACCTGAAAGCTCAGCTCATCCCTTGCTCAGCCACCAGACTTAGGGCAATACCAGACCCACTGTTCATGGTGTTCTGTGAGAGAAGGGGTCTGGAACAAGGCCATGCCTCAGTTACCTGCAAGCTGGGAGACACCTGCGAGGCAGCAGAGCTGTGGTTCCGCAGGCCCTGCAGATCCTCACCACCACCACTTCACCCCCTCAGGTACCGGCTCATGCTGCAGTGCTGGAAGCAGGAGCCAGACAAGAGGCCCATGTTTGCTGACATCAGCAAAGACCTGGAGAAGATGATGGTCAAGAGCAGAGTGAGTCCCAGCCTCTTCCTGGGCTGGAGTGAAGGGCAGCTCGAGGCAAGGAGAGGGTGTGCCATCCCCAGGGCGGCAGTCAGGGCAGGGGACCTGCTCCTCAGGCCAGGCCCAGGCTGCTTCTCAAGCCACAGAGAAACCACGGCTCCTCTCTTGACCCTAGAAGAGCTCTCACAGGGTGGAAGCAGCCAATGGTGTCCAGTGGGGGCAACAGGGATGAGGAGGTGGTGGGGCTATGGCTCTAGCCCCTCCACAGGCCCCAGGCTGTCAGCATGTGTGGCCAAGGACAGGAGCCCCAGGTGCCAGGTCTCCCTGATCAGGAGGCCTGTGTCAGGTCTCTCAGTTCTTACCGTTAACTCATTTATGAACTTCCAAAAGCCCAGTGTGAGCCAAGCAAAGATTGTCTGGAGGCGTCAGCCAGCCTGCATACCTCCGTTTACAACCGAGGGGGTGAGCACATCGACTCACCTTGGGCTGGTGTTTCTGGAGTAGCTGTTAAATACTGGATGCCAGGGATGCGGTGAACCAGCCAGGCCCTCCCATCCTCACACAGAAGTCTTGGTTCTCACTGGTCCGTTTACCAGAGGCATCCTCTACAAACTCAGGACGCAGGGTACTTGGCAAGCCTGCTGCAGCAGGGCTTCACAGCATGGTCAGCACTGGGGTGGAATCTCGAGTCCTGTGAGTCGGGCTGTCCTGACTTGAGCCAGCTCCAGGGACAGTCTTTTTGTGCACTCACACACACGTATGTACACACACATATATATACTCACATGCACACATGTTGGAAGTCATGCTGCAAGCTGGCATCTGTGGCAGTGTCCTGGGCACAGCCAGTATCAGTGGGGTGTTTCACATTTCTGAGCCCTGATGTGAGCTCCAGGTGGAGGGGCTGAGGGGGAGGCTGCGTCTTCTGCTTGACATAGGTTGCTTCCACTCATGATGTGTGGCAAATGAGCTCTCCCAGGTCGGAGTGTCTGACATGAGCAACCCCCAGCCCTCTGCTGCGAGGGAGGCGTCCCAGGCAGTCCCGGAGGCCCTGGAGACCAACAGGGGGAACAGAAAAAACAGATGACACTCAGGTGCCGACAAAGCAAGAGCCACCCTGGAGAGGGGCTCTGCTAGTCTTGCAAGGTGGGGATAAAGCCAGAACCCTTGTCCTGGGGTGTTGCGGGCTGGGGGTGACTGGCCATCCCTGTCTTCCAGGACTACCTGGACCTCGCGGCGTCCACCCCGTCAGACTCCCTGCTGTATGACGACGGCCTCTCAGAGGAGGAGACGCCACTGGTGGACTGCAGCAGTGCCCCCCTCCCTCGTGCCCTCCCCTCCACATGGATTGAAAACAAACTCTATGGTAGAATCTCCCATGCGTTTACTCGGTTCTAGCAGCGTTGCCCTCTGCACTGTCCTCACTGTCTGTAATGCTTTCTAAAAGTGTTTCTGACCTGAACAAAACCAAAGTCTACGCTGAACCCTTTTCTTTGTAAATGTCTGACTTTGCATCCAGTTTACATGTGGGCCTTTTTTTCGACTATGTCTTTCTAAAAGGATGTGAAAATAAGCGTCATTACCACACTGCCCAGCAACTTAAAAAAAAAATACAACAGAAACCATCAGGGCCGAATTCTCAGGGGACATTGCAGAAATGATGAATAAGTCATTTCAGGGGTAGTACACGTCACAGTACTTCTGGTTTAGTTATTTGGATAAATTTGCCTGATGGGGGGGATTTAAATCAGAAGGGAGGGTGGCACCCTGTGTGCGCTGAGATGCAGCTGGGGGCACCTTGCCGAGGTCACCCGGGAGGCTCTGCTGGACACGTGGACATGCTGTTTTCACATCCTTCCCCATGGTTGTCACTTATGAAGCCAGTGCTAAATGCTGGAGCCAATGCTTTTTGAAAGAACGTAGTCTGTGGTGCTGTGGCCTTGCAATGGACAGTAAATATGGTTCTTGCCAAAACTCCTTCTTTTGTCTTGGATTAAATACTTGAAAATTTTTCTGCTTCCTAACTTCATCACTGAGCACTTGAGATCCAGGCATCATTAGAGCCAGGATGCTCCTCCACTGCCCCCTGCTCACAGTCCCCACTAACGTTGGGGCTGGGGTGTGCTGATGAGGCTGTGGGCGCTGTGTGCTCCCACGGGGATGCGCCTCACCGTGGTGGCCGACGGACAGAAAAATAGGCTCATTTTCTAGGATGTTCCTGCCACAGCAAGCCGTGCTGTGCAGCCTTGTGCCGGTGCCTCACATTCCCGGAGGAAGAGAGTTAAGCAGTTTAGCAAACAGAGCAGATTTGAGAGTGAAGCCCAGAAAGGTCAAAATTGTTAAGTGTCTGCTAAATTCCATTTTACTAGAGCACATGATCTTTGCCCCAGTAGGACAGTGTTTTGGAAACCAGAAGTGTAAAGCCATGAGTGTAATTAGCCCTGAAAGCACAAATTTGACTTGAATATCAAAGGGAGTTTTGCCAAGGCCTCACTGTCTGCACCTGACACGTGGGTCCTTCGGTGCAGAACAAACGATGTGTTTTCATTTTTAGGCATGTCAGACCCGAGCTGGCCTGGAGAGAGTCCTGTACCACTCCCGAGAGCCGATGGCCCTAACACGGGGTTTCCGAGATATGCAAATGATAGTGTTTATGCTAACTGGATGGTCTCGCCCGCAGCGGCGAAGTTAACGGACACATTTAATAGTTAACATTTCTATGTGCACGGTCATGGACTCACGAGGGGAAGAACATGCCAAGAATGGACAGTCCACCAGCCTTTCCTGTGCCTATCACCCTGGCCAGGCCAGGCCCAGGTGGCAGACTCGTTCCCAGTAGTTGGTTGTAACTGGTTTCCAAAGTGGTTTCTTCCCTGATGGCTGGTGATGTCCCTCCTAGCAGACGTGGCCGCCGGGTGAGTGCTGAGTCTTGGCGCTAACTTGTCCTTCCCCTTTCTCACCAGGCAGCCCCTCATCTGTGTCCACTGGTGGCCACCATGTGCCCCCAGTCCCGTGTGGGCCTGCCACTCGCTACCTTGTGTGAGAAATTGTACCTGAACTGTCTGATTTTCCTGGTTGCCACTAAAACAGTGCAACAAGGTGGAACCATGAAGCGCACGCGCGCGCACACACACACGCACACACACACACACACACACGCACACACACACAGGCAGTAGGAAAACCCTTGCCGGAGTAGCCTGGCCTTACTCAAAAGAAGCCTGTGGGGCCTGAGTGGTAACAGCAAACCTCACCCCAACCCTGGGGCAGGAAGGGAAGGGGGCACCAGGACAAGCCTTGGCTCCAAATTTAAGGTCCTAAAAATGGTTTTTAAAATCATGTAGCCTTTTCTTAGGAAGACACTTCGTTTCGCCATTATTAAAGTGATTCTTAGATCTAGCACAATGGGGATCTGATGCTGCCCTTGCTGTGTGCACAGCAATTTCGGGGAGGGGCTCACAGACGGGTCCAGGCCTCAAGTGACGGTGTGGGATGACCACGACCCTGCCACCACAGCACAGAACACGGCAGCCTCTGGTGCTCCATCACCCCACCACTGCCCTGCCATGTGCCCTCTTTGGAGAGCAGCAGGGGCCCCAGCACCCAGACCAGGTGAGCCTGTGCGTGTGTTTGTGGGTCCCCTAATGCTCTCTCCTGAAGGGACCGACCTGCTAGTCACGTCATGAGGGATGCTGACAACGCCATGGACCGCTGCGCCTGACTGCAGCTCTACCTTGGGAGGACACAGTCTGCCTCTTTCTGTTGGCAGACAGCAAGGCGTTTTGGTTTCTTCCATTCTGACCATGACTCAGACATAGGTTTCTTGTCACTGCACTGTTGTGTGGTCATACCCTGCACCCCTGCTGCTATAGGGGTGACTACAGGAGTCCAGGCCAGTCATGTTGCAAGAAGGGGCTGCACCACCAGAACACTGCCTGGTTATCAGACGTCAGCACTGTAAGAGGACTTCGAGTGGTCTCCATAAACGCGGCACTTCATGGGCACTTCACAAAGCAGAGGATGATGACTTTTGTGTGGCAGGAGGGCCCGGATGTGTGTGTGTGACAGCCCTGTGGTGGGTGTGCACATACACATGTACACACATCCAGGGAGAGCCAGGACACGCTCACGGGGATGGTAACATGGCTTTAGTTTGGGCCATCCAGATACACTGTGATAAGTTCTACAAATACTGTAGTCATGGCAAACTCTGGTTTTCAGATGAGTTTCATGACAGCTTATTAAATGCAGAACTAAAGATAAAGTTATTAAAATGCCCGTCCAGTAAGTGTGAATTTTACAGTTAGTTTGTTTTTGTGGCACCAGTCCTCTGGGTCCAAACACTCACCCAGGGGTGGGGAACTAACACTTGCCTAGTAACCCAGCCAAGTGAGTTACAAAAGTACCCATTCCTACCAGACAACTTTCATTCACATACGTGCAGGCATTGCTAAGTATTAAGTGTTACTGAGTATTAAGTAGCAATCTGTCAGCTATTAACTATGTGAAATCCATTTAAGAAAGGTTATTAAACCATGTCATGTTAATTTGTTTTTGTAGTCAAAGTGACTAAGGAAGTAATTTCAGTTGTGTAAATAAAATCATGTATCATAAAATGTGCAAACTTATTTTTTTAACTTCCTAGTTGGCAATATCAGATCTGTGGTTTTGACCCTTCCACATAAGAGTCAACGTGTACACAGGAATCTGTCACAGAGGCCACCTGGGGACTGATAGTTACCAAGGATGAGGCTCACACTCATGCCATGTGACCTGGTGTGGTGGAAGTAGCTGTGGACATGTGCCCACTCCTTGCTCTAGGCTGCCTCCCTGGCAGAGCAGGCCATACTGAGTGCAGGCCCTCAGAGTCCTCTGCCATCTCCTGAGCTGAGTAGTTAGAGCTGGAATGCATTAGGAGTGTGAAGTAGAACCAGTCTGTTACTAAAATCCACATGGCCGTAGGCAGAGCCCTGTAGGGGGCTGGTGCTGACCATGTCCTACCCTTACTGCCCTGGTGCCGCCTTCTTATGTGGGACCCCAGGGCTCCTCTCCAAGCCCTGCCAGGAGCAGACAGGGCAGTTGGCAAAGGCAAGTTGTCACCAGCATAGTCCTGGCCTGTATACCGTGTGTCCTGTTATTTCCTGCACATGTGTATGTGCACAGCCTCTGCACTTAATCAGCCACAGGCCATGGCCCGGCCCTTGGTGCCTGTGTCTGCTCACAGCACCTTTCTCTAGTCTGAACCACAAGGCTTGACATAAGAGAGTGGCTCCAGGTGGAGTTTGTCCTCTGGCATGTGGTGGACCTCCTTCCACACCTCCACCCTGCCTCCTGAGCCTGCTGCAGCCTTTACCTTGGAGGGGCAAAGACCCTGGCTAAAAAAAGTGAAATCCTGTCAGCCCCTTTTCAAGAACAATGACACCCTGTGAGGAGTACTCGTGTGTTTGTTTCTTGTTCTTTTGTTTCCTAACCCTTGCACATGAGGCTAGCTTTTTTGGATGGAAATCTAGTTGAGTTTGTGTGAGAGTGGGCTTGGATAAGTACATGCAAAGGAATATACAAGGGAAATCATCATTTCCACCCATATAAAAAAGCACTCTCCCCTCAGCTGTGAAGCAGATAGTAAGGGTCCCTCCACTCCTGTAGACATTCAGCACGTTTAGACACTGGTGCAGGAGGGCTTCAACCTCTCTACCTCTGGCCATAAGCAGAATTTGTGGGCTCGTGCTGCAGACCTGGACTCTAGTGGGCATGCTCAGCCTCTGCTCCCATGCCCACATGGAGCCGCCTCTGCCTTCTCCATGGCAGGCTGCAGCCTTGGCTGGAACTTCACAGGAACTTTGTAGAGGGAGCCAGGACCTACCAAAGGAATCGTCTCAGTCAAGATCACAAGGACCCAGAGCCTATGGTTCAATTCAGGCACTCACTGTGTCCTTTGGCAAGGTCCAGGTGCCTATCTGACTCCAAGAGGGCCAGCTTCACTCCCCGGATCACCACACAGACATCGTGGACACCCCAGGGAAATGGTGGCTTGTCTCTGCTCCGTGTTTTTGAGGACATGGACATGTTCATCACAGGACCTGGATCTCAGCTGAGCCCCTCAGCAGCGGTCGGGGGGAAGCATGGGGCGTGCCTCGCAGGGGTGATGGGAACTGGCTGGGTGGTGTGGAGGAGAAATCAGCAGGTCCAGTCACTCACGCAAGAGAGACCACAGACTCTATCCTTCCCGATGACACTGTGCAGTTCTAGTTGGAAATGATACCAGCAAGCAACGTAGAGAAAGTACATTCTAAAGCTAAAAATTAATAGTCATTGTTTTGGAGAAGAAGAGAATTTTGACATTTCACATATAGATGATACTTACCATGCAAAATGTCAACTTCTTCAATAAAAATATGAAGTCCATCTCAGGTGTTCTAGCATTTTTGTTTATCTTTGTCAGCAGCATGAACAGTACCTGCCAGCATGTCAGTCCCTGTCCACTTGCCTGGTGGAGGGATGGGTCGTGGGGTTCTCAGTGGTCTCAGGGACCTGGGTTCTAGTCCAAGTGAAGAAGGCACATGAGGCTGCAGGAGACAAGGCCTCGGCCAGAGGACTTTGGGGCTGGCACCAGTGCCCTGGCCTGGAGCCTCCTCTCCCACCGAGGCCCTCTGCGACTTGTGCCTATGCCTCCCTTCCAAAAGATGGTAAGACTTGAGCAACTTCCTGCAAGCTGTGGCCACAGGGCCTGGGCTGCTGAAATCCTCAGAACCCCAGAGCAAAGGAGCACGCCAAGGGTTTGGGGACTTCATCACAGTCTGGAAGGCAAGGTGCAATTACAAGAAGTTTTTAAGCGCAGGAATGACTCTAAGCACTTGGGAGGCTGAGAGAAGAGAAGCAGGATGATCACTTTGAGTTTGAGGCCAGCCTGCACTGCATAGTGAAACCCTGTCTCAAAAAGACACACACACGCACACATGCACACGCGCGCGCGCACACACACACACACACACACACACAAGGAATAATATTGAGGATGGAAGAATTCTGACTCTCAGAGGCCCTGCATTCAAATCCTGGTACTGCAAGAAATGGTTGGGGGAGGACACATTTGAAGCCAGAAGCAAAGATTGGAGTGATATAGCCACAAGCCCAGAAATGCCAAGGAGTGATGGTGACCACCAGAAGCTGTGAGGCCAGGGGGCTCCTCCTGAGCTCCTTTGGAGGCAGCCAGGTCCTGCCAACACTTTGATTTGGACCGCCAGCTTCCAGAGCTCAGGGGACTACATTTCTGTAGTTTTGCAACACCCAGTTTGTGCCAATTAGTGACAGCAAGCCCAGGAAACTAGCACTGCACCTGTACTCACAGTGGGTTCCCCTGCATTATGCAGCAATGTTTCCTTCCCCAGAGCACGCACTTCCCTTGCAAGGCTGAAGGATCTTTCTTTTGTCTTGGTTTTTCTTTCGTAAGAAAGGACAGACTTTTTTCCAGTGTCCCTTCTACTGACAACACCTGTGAATATCCTTGTCGGTGGGCAGTAGGCAGGGCTGTGGACACCCAGGTTTGGTTTACAGTCTGCTCTGGGTCCTGTCTAGCTTTTCACTTTTAGAGTGCATGCCAGGAGCTGTGGTTCCCGCAAAGGGCTGCTCATTGTCTGATCTCTCTTTCTGGCTTAGGTCCTGGTTTCAGGTTTAACTCTTTTTTTTTTTTTTTATCTTTTTGAGACATGGTCTTGCTATCCAGTTCAGGCTGGCACTAAGCTCACTTTGTAGCCTCGGCTGGCCTCAAACATGCAACAATCCTCCTGCCTCAGCCTCCCAAGTGCTGGGGTTACAGATGTGCACCACCACACCTGGCCCTCAGGTTTAACTCTTGACAAAATGTGATGGGGGACTACTTTCTCAACTCCCAAGTTGAGATGACTCTCATTATGTATTCCCTAGTGTACTCCAAAATCCCCGATAGATGCACCTTCTCTGTGTCACTGAATTGTAAACCAGTCTTTTCTACTGGAAATATCTTAGGTATGGCTTCTAGGATAGTTCATCCAGTGTTTTGATGTACCCTCTTGGATTTATTGTATTGTATCCTTTCCTAGTGAGTCCAGTCCACTTTTACCATTCAGGATTTAGCCCTGGAGGTTTTGATCAAGTTGTGTGCAAGGTGGTAGAGATCAGGTAACTTTGGGTTGCACACCCCCGCAGTAGTCTAAATTAGTGTAGGAACAGTTGCTGGGTTTGTCTGAGATTGGAGAACTCCTTACTTACAGTTCTTTTTTGCTTTGTTTTGGTTTGGTTTTTGCTGGTGCTAGGATTGACACCATGAGCTTGTACTAAGCTACATCCCCAGCTCTTTTTTTATTTTTTATTTTGAGACAGGGACTCACTGCTTGGGTCCAAGAGACAGAGCAGAGGGACATGGGAGAGGGACTCAGGGAAGCAGTGAAGGGAAGAAGGGAAGGATCTACTAGGAAGCTGAGTTCAGTTTGTCAAGTTGTTCATTAGCTTTGGCCAAAGAATCTGCTAGGAAAGCAGTGTTACTATCAGAATGCCATTTGCAGACTGTGGTTATGAATCAAAAACTACTGCCTGTTGGGCCTGAGAATCTTGATTTTCTAGGGCTTCTCTCGAATGAGCAATTTTGTTCCAGTTGGATGATCCACATCACCCTTTGTGGAGTTAATGCTCTTCAGAAAGTACACGGATGCCCCCTCATCCTACGAAGGGCCACATCCTGATAGCCTGGTAGCCCAGTGTAAGCTGAAGGTGGTATGACACTTCTCACTTGCCTGCACCCAGCCCAGTGGCATGGTGCATAGTGGACGCCAGTTGCTTCGGGTGCTGACTGCAAGCTGAGGCTCAGCACAAATAGCCACTGCATATCAGTAGCCATGGAAAAGATCAGAATTCAAAATTGTGTGTGTGTGTGTGTGTGTGTGTGTGTTGTGCTGGGGAGGGCTTTGCACATGCTAGGCAAGTCTTCCACCACCAAGCCACATCCCCGGCCCTGAAAGTATGCTTTCTACTGAACACCTATGTCTTGGTTACTTTTTCTCGCTGCTGGGACAAAATACCTGATGCCCAAAATTAAGAAAGTAAAGGTTTATTTTGCTTACAGTTTGTGAAGGTTTCAGTCCATACTTGGCAGATTATAAGGCAGAGTGGCACATGGCAGAGGGCTACAGCTCATGGCGGCAGAACACAGCAAAGCAACAAACACACACCAGTGCGGAATGGCGGAGAAGGACTGGCCTCAAGCATTCCTTTTCTCTCCCTTACATATGCAAACTATCCACCCCAGGGTGGGTGTAGCTCTCACACCCACAATTAATCAACTCTAAAAGCCTGCCCCATGGCCGCATGAGGCTTTGGGGGGATACACAGACAAACCATAACATTCTACCCCTGGCCCCCAAAGACTCATGCCCATCCCTTTATACAAACAGCATTTAGTCCATCTGCAAGAGTTGCCAAAGTCCTAACAGTTGTAGCATTGCTGAACAGTCCAAGTCCCAAGTCTCCTCCAAAATGTAAAGCAAACTCTCAGCTGTGAGCCCCTGTACAAATGAAAAGATAAACACTTCCAACATTTAATGGCACAAAATAAGCAGTACCATTCCAAAAGGTACAAACAGGGGGACACAGAGCATTGGGACCAAAGCAAGTCCAAAATCCAGCAGAGCTAACATTATGTCCCGTAGTTCCATGTCCAGCATCTGAAGCAATCTGTGGCACATTGTGAGCTCCAAAGGGCTTGCATGAGTCCACCCCTATGGCACTTCTGGTGATTACAGCTTCCATGACTTCTCTCTTAGGCCTGCTTTGCTCCCTCTGGGCAGTTTTCCTTAGATGATCCACGGTCCTGGCTTTTCTAAACTTCTGAGGTCTCCAGGGCACCTTTTGCTTCACACTCACAGCCTCACACACTGCCCTCTCAGGGGCACACTGCCTGGCCTCCCAGGCTTTCTGAAACCTGGGTGGAAGCCTCTTAAACCTCAGAACTTGTGCATTTGCCATGCACCTAAAGCCAGGGCCACGGGCATGATGCCAAGGTCTGCTGCCACCTGGAGCAGTAACCAAGCTTTCCTTTCTCTTGGCCACAGGGGTTGAGTGCCTGGATTGCTGGGCACTCTGAATCCAATTCTGAAGAACAGATCCTCTATGCTGCCGCCATTCTGGAACCTGGGGTGGCCACCGCCATTCTGGAACAGGGCACTCAGCAGCTTTTTCCTCAAGGCAAGGTCTTTCACCTTTGTCCTTTTGAGGCTGCAAAGGGTGGAGACTTGCTGTTTTCTGTGATGCCCTCAGGCCATCTTTTCCATTCTCTTGTTCCTTCTCAGCAATAGAGATCTCCTCAGCCTTATCTTTGCAGTCCACAGCATTACTGGAGCTTCCTTTCTGGCCAAACTCACAACATTTTAAATCATCCTGCTGAGCTCTTTGTTCTTGATTCTCAATATAGATCTGGCTAAAAGCCCCCAACAATAGCCATGCCACTGCCCCAACGTTTGACTGCCTTGATATTTCTTTTGCCATATTAATCAGTCTGCTGCTGCCCTTAATCTCAGTCTTAGGCAAAGTCTCTGGACACAAGCAAAATGCAGACAAACTTTCTGCCAAGCCATAACAACCTGTTTGCTTTCTTACCATCATGAGGTTGGCAGTCATAAGTCAGAAACCATCTCAGAAGCAGGGGCAGGGGCTTTGCAGCAGGAGGGAAGGGCTTACTTACACTTAGCACTGTGAGAGGCACAACAGTGGCAGGGGTGTGACATACAGTCTCCTGGGACACAAAGTCAAGAGAGGCGCCTCCTCCAGTCTATTGGCGGCCAAGTCACACCTGTCCAAGTAGATGCTGGTCTGGTAAGAACGGCAAACTCACAGCTCAAGCTGCAGGCTCTTGAGGCCAAGCTTGTGTTCCCGTGAGCTCCCTCTTACCACACTGCAGCTCGGCACATGAGACAGCAGAGGAATGACCCGACTCTACTGAAGATGCCACACTGGTGGGCGTCAGTCACAACTGCTGTGTACCAAACAGAGCAAGGGCAGAGCTCAGACCCAGGGCTCGCTCAGCCACATTGGTGAGAACTCCATAAACTAAGACCTTTGCCACAAGAGGCCCCACAGCTGGGGGAGGCTGTCAAGCAGGGCAGAACAATGTCAGGGCCACCAGGGCCACCAGAAACAAATGAAAACCATGCAGAGGGGAAGCACTTAGGTTTGACTTACTGTCGCACAGGCATTGGCCATCATCACCTGCATGGAGCTGACTCTAAGGCTGGTGGCTAGGAGCTGAAACGCTGTGTAGTAGGGTTGGCTGTTGTTGGGAGAAGAATCTTTGAAAAAATATTTTTCTGACATGAAACACAATCATGCTTTAGTGTTTTCCACAAAGAAACTACTTATTGTATAAGCCCTAGTATGTGTCACCCAGGATCTGCTACAAATTTTAAATTGTGCCTTATCTGCGGTCCAAAAGATATACATTTGCTATTTAACTTAGCTATGTAAAAAGTCATAAGAAGCTAAAATTTGAATCCACTGATGGGAGAACCTCATTTACTATAAAAGCAATTCTAGGGGAAAATGTAAGTTGCAATTTAAAATACCTGAGCATAACCTGGCTGCTCCAATGCTATGCAGGTCTGGTCTTGGAAGAGCTTTGGCATTTTCCTCCTTGAATTTGTTTTCTCCACTGTAAATTGCAAGCCCTGACTCAGGGCTGTGTGTTGGGAAGGCTCAGAGGTTCAGAGAGTATGGGGTCCCTGCAAGCATGCTGCACAAGAAGGAGAAGGAGAAGGGCAAGGGGAAAGCAGACGCCACAAATGAGAGGGGAGGACAAAGGACAGGGAAGAAGAGAGCCATTGATGTGGCGGGGTGGCTGTGCATGACAGGGAATGTGGTGGCTCTGAATTTGGTTCGTGGAGATACAGACTCTGGAAAGTCTGCAGGATTCATCCACAGTTCTGGGGGTCCACGGTGTCTGCAAGGGGCCAAGCCCCATGCTTGGCATGGAGCAAGACAGCAGAAGACAGCAGCAGTGGTGCATCCCTGCCCAAGAAGCAGACAGCCGGCCCAGCAGAGAGAGTCTAGGAGGAAAGGGACAGCTGACACGTGTGCCTGAGGACACGACTCCTACAGGCTGTTGGCGGCAGTGTCCAGGGCCACATAGAGTGGCCAGACTTGTACTGAGAACTTGGAAGCTGCAGCCTGGGAACACCAACCCTGAGTTCCGTGAGCTGCCATGTCCACTTACTGTGTTCCCACTCAACAGGACTTGTGTCCTATCATCCTAAACCTGCCAAGGCTGCAGTGTGCATGTGTCTAGTTCTCCCAGGAGAGAATATTGCACCTTCACACTCACACCCCAAGTTGGGTCCTGGAATGGTGGGATAAACACCCAGGATAGAGCTGACACCAGAGACACTTGGTTCACCCGGGACAGACACACAAAGCTGACATGCACAGGGCAGCAGAACCTGCCCACCAGACAGCTCAGGCTGGAGAGGTGGTGGCATGATCAGCCCCACCGAGGCCAAGGAACTGTTCTTGTCACATGAGCAGCACTTGCTGTGAGCCAGGGACTGGAGGTGGGAACACTCTGGTCCTCATCACTGAGAGCTCCTGGGCCAGGGCTGGCTGTGACAGGGTCGATTCTTGACCCTTGGCCCAGGCTGGGGGAAGAGGTGTGGGACCCGTAAATGCTTACAGTTGTTCAGAAAGGAGAGAGAGAATATGAGGCCCTGGAGTTGGAAGAGACTGAACAACTGGACACCCAGCCAGCCTGGCTTTGAGTAGGACTCTCAGCGCCCAGGGCTTCCCACAGGGCACTGTGAACATCCAGGTTAAAGACACCAGCAAGTACCAGCCAAGGAGAGCAGCATGGCTAGGAACAAAGCTGCTCTGCTCATTAAACTCCTGGGGGCATCCAGTCACCCCGCCCTCCCCTCCAATACCACCCACCGCGATCTGTGCGGCTACCAGCCGGGAACAGCACCGGCACTTCAATATGGAATTGCAACCCAGCCTCACAATTTTACTGTTCGCTCCCCAAACCCAGTTCAGGAAACTGAGGCAATGGAGGCTCGTGGGAGCAGGCGCGGTAGGGCCACGCTGGGCTCACCCGAGAAGCCCGGTCCTAGCACAGCACCTCTTCTATTTGCCCACACCAGGCGCTGAGGCCTGGATCTCGAGGCCCCAGCTCCGAGGTGCCTTGCAGCTCCCGAGGGCACCGGCTAACTCAAACCTGCAGGCGCTGGCTCAGAAGCCCTGTTGGTCCCTGCAAACCATTTGTCAAGGTCCATACCCACGAGTTTCCCAACGTACCCAAAGGAAAGTAAGCGCCCACTACTGAGCTACCTGTGCCTGGCACAGGGCGTGTGGGGTGGGCGGGGCCGATGGGGTTGGGCAGGGCTAGGCGGTTGCAAGTGGGCGGGGCCACTTGGCAGCAGGTAGAACCGGGTGCAGTGGGCGGGAGCCTGGGGTGCACAGAGGCGGGCAGCACTGGGTGGGGAGCCGACTGTGCGGGGTCTGGTGTGAGAGGCGCCAGGAGGAGGCAAAGCGTGGTGTGGGCGAGGCCTGGTGTGGGCGGGGCGGGACGGGTCAGAGCTAGCCCACAGCGGCGGCCGGCAGGCGGCGGTGGGCGGGGCCAGCGGCCTCATTTCCTCGCGCGCCGGAAGTGGCGGGCGGGCGGTTGCGCGCCCGCTGGGTGGGCGGCTGAGGCTGCGCTGCCGGAGGCAGCGGGGCGCGGCTGGCGGGCGTGGTGAGTTCCGGCCACCACCCGCCGCCTGCAGCTCCCGGCCCAGCCCTGTCGACTCCGAAGATCCGGCTCCGGCCGGCATCGCTCGCTGCGGGGCCGCGGACTTTCTCCGCTGGAGCCCTGATCCTAGGGCGGCGACGTGCAGCGTTGAGTCCCCTCGGCCCGGTGACAGTGACATCGCCGCCCCCGCCTCGCGACCCCCGCCGCTGTGGTGCAGCATTGCCCGTGAAGCGCGCCGGCGGAGGTCGTGTCCAGGCCCCGGCAGGCCCGGCCGGAGTGCCGCTGGGCAGCTTGGCAGTTAAGCCGGCTGGTCTTCACGGAGGTGTGAAGTAGGCGTGGAGAAGCACGCGCCTGGCCGGCACTGTGCAACGCACTGAACCTGCTGGAACCACAGCGAGCGAGCGATCCCCTGCGCCTCCCAGCCCGCCTTCCGCTGTAAGTGCTGGAGCCTCCTATTAGTGCGACTGTAGTGTATGCTTGGCGCATTGCTTGTGGAACTCACCCGTGATATTTCATGATAGGCGTCGTTTATACGTATTAGGTATTTTTATCCGGAGTTCTTGCTTTTTATTGTTGAGTAGTATTCCACTGTGTGATGGATGAGGGCTTTCCTGCTGATAGACAAGCTTCCAGTGTTTGTATATTATGTATTTTGTGTATTACGAATGCTGGGAAAACACTTGTCTGTGTTTGGTGAGCGTGTGAGTAGAGTGGTCAGATGTAGCATGACTGCGTCTTAGACTAGGCAGAGAATTACATTTAAACTAACATAAAAAATGGGATAAAATCTCTTCACCAGTGTAACCTTTATATTCTTTTTTTTTTTTTTTTTTTGGTTTTTCTCTGGCACCGGGAACCGAACTCAAGACCTTGCGCTTGCTAGGCAGGCGCTTTGCCGCTGAGCTAAATCCCCAGCCCTCACCAGTGTAACCTTAAAGGTTGGTAAAAAGCTTTTATTATGACTTCAAGACTCTGGTCACTCACTACCATATTATTATTTATCCCTCCTGTTGCATATCTGTGACAGCCTTGTCTCAGACTGTCAGTACTCCTCTAGCTGTGTTAGACAGGTCTGTTAGAGCGGGTTATGATCTGACTTTGTGTTTCTCCAGTTAGGTCTTTGTTAGGGAAAACAAAGTAGTGGTTGTTAGGGGAAACGAAACATCAAGGGGGTGTAACTAAAAACGGGGTGGAAAATCCTAAGAGTTCAAGACAAGGAGATCACGTTGCTATTGTCATGCCACACAAGTACGAGGTAGAGATGTAAAATTCAGTCACAAATAGGATCGGATTAGTTACAGATAGGAATATATGCCATGCGTGGTGGCACATGCTGGTAATCCCAGCACTTGGGAGGCTGATGCAGGAGGATCACTGGGCCAACCTAAACTGCATAGTGAGACCCTGCCCCCCAAAAGGAATTTATTACAGGAATACAGTGATTTCTGCATGCATGAAAATACTACATTTATAATGTGAACAAAGAACAGAACTCACTAAACATTTGTGGGAAATTAGTAGTATGTAACAGAAGCTGCAAACCGAACAAAACTAAGCCTTGAAACAATGGAGATAATGTAAGAAACAAGAAAACATTAAGATAAATATTAGTACTGTCAAATTTAGTAGAGTATCCTGCCTGTTGAGCACATGTAGGCTGCCATGAAAAAAAACAACCAGTTCTTGAATTTTAAAATATAGAAAGTAGGAAAGAATAACATGCAGAATTGATGCAGAATAAATTACATGCAGAATAGATCCAGAAAAGCCAATGTGCATCTGCTAGTAGACTCAGGAATGAATTAGAAGAGAAGAAATAACTACAGAGATATGAATAACCAGGCCAAACCTTAGGTCACCTGAGACAGACATGTATGTCAGTCAGGGCACAAATTACTGGCAAGTAGAGATCAATCCTTCCCTCTCTGGCCTGTTTCTTCCTCTGTGCAGTGGGGATGGTCAGGAAGGGTGCCTTTTCAGAGTGGTGCGTTGGTTGTGCTCATGGCTCCTGTTCCCAACTCTCTCATATCAACTCACAGTAGATGTCAGATTTCCCATTGCTGCTTCACGGTAGAATGGACAGTTAAAATACTGTATTAAGAAAATAATGGGCTGGGGATATATCCCAGTGGCAAAAGGACCTTCCTGGCAAGTGCAAGGTCCTGAGTTTGATTCCCAGTACCAAAAAATAAAAAAAAAGAAAACAAGGACTTTTCTCGCAGCAAAATTCTGAGTCTATGCATGGGATAAATATACTGAGAATCTTAAAAGAATAGACACACATTTAGATACATTCTTGGGACTTTTATTAACCTCACGGATACTAGGATTTGGAAAAGAAATGTCCTTCACGAGGCTCATGTGTTGAAGAAGGAGCTTTTGGAAGGTGGCTGTATCATGAGGGGGCTAAACTCATGACTGTATTGATCCACTGATAAGTTAATAGCTGAGTGTGCTATTTGGAGGTGGGGCCAGGTTGGAGGGAATGGATGACTGGGGGCCTGACTTGAAAGGGTGTATCTTGTCCTTGGTCCTTCCCTCTCCCTGGCTTTCTTCCTGCTCTTTGCTTCCTGGCTGCAGGAGGTAAGCAGTTGTCCTCTGCAGAGTCTCCCATGTTTCTGCCCTGGAGTCAGCCATCCTGGACTGAACCCTCTGAAACTGTGAGCCAAAGTAAACCTTTCTCTTTCAAGTTGTCTGTGTCAGATATTTTGATCAGCAGTGAAAAGCTGACTGATGGAGTGGGTAAGTATGTAATCTCATAAGCTTCCAAAGAGAAATGTATATTTATACAGGAATGGAAGTCAGACTTCTGATCACAGTTTTGATTTAAAATGGAGTATTAGATCACAGTGGAGCTATATTTTAAAGGTGTCTGTGGAACTTATTTTGAACTCAGAATCTTATCTCTAACCAAATTGTCATTCAGACTAAGGGGCAAAATAAGGCCATTGTCATCTATACCCACTAGAAACACCCTGGGATGTACTTTAAACAAAATAAAAAATTAAGACAAGTATATGGAATTTAAAGAAAACAAACATTTCCCAACTCTAAGTCATGAATAACTATAGCTAAGAAATTTAAGGCAATAGAAAGGATTAATAGGCCAGAGTAGTAGAATTTTAAAGTCTTTAATAATCTGGAGCGAAAATGTAATGTGATTTTAAAATTGGTCGTTGTAATAGTCAGCTTCCTGTTGGTGTGTTGCTGTGACAAAATACCTGAAGTAATCAGCTTGGAGGAGGAAAGGGCTGCTTTGACTTGTGGTTCTACAGGTTTCAGGCCATGGGTGGTTGGCCTGCTGCTTTTAGGTCTGCAGATAGGCAGCGTACCTTGGCACACTGCAGAGGAGGCTGCTCACTTGGTGCCAGAGGGAATCAAGAGACAGGAGGGGCTGGACCTATATCCCCTGAAAGTTACACCCAGATAGAAACGACCTCACTTCCTCCTGCAGCCTCCACCACCTGGCTCCCATTAGCACCACAGGCTGGGGACCATGCTGAAGTGCATGAGCTGCTGGGGACACTTGTGATGTAGACCTTAGTGCTTGGGAAGGTGGGAGATGAGTAAAGTGTATTGGAAGCTCATCCTAAGCAGAGGAGGCTCCAGGCAAGGACCAAGTATATGTTCAGTGCTGTCTTGTAGGCCAGGTGACCAGCAGTCCCCCTTCCTGGGGTTAGTAGGTAAAGTCACCTACTCAGAGTGAGAGCACGTCCCTAAGGCTGTGATGATGAGGTGTGCGGTGGTGCCATGGATCTGGAAGGACCTGAGCCTTGGGGATAGGAGAGAGGTGTCACTGTGGGCTTAACTTCTTTGCCCTTTGTATTTGTTTCATGAGGCTTTGGAAGTGTAAGTTTTTTAGCCAGGCATGGTGGCACACCCCTGTAGGCTCTGTGTCAGCAGTAAGGCCCGCCTTGTTCCTCCTGAACATTCCACGGTGCTGCTGTTTGTGAGTTATTCGGTCTTTCCCTTACCAATGGACACTAGGTTGCTTTGTTTTTATTATGCTGTTACGTTTAACACCAGTAAACATGCTTGTGATGTTATATATTTGTGTGGATATTTCTGTAGTAAAGAATCTTAAAAGTGAAGTTACGAATTGCTGGACTAAGGAATACACGTATTTGAATCAAATTTGTTTCAAAAATGTGTGTGTTTAGTTTGTCTTTAATTAAAGCAATCATAGCATCTTAGAAGGAAAGTTAGCTATCCAGACAAACTGCCTCATTTGGGAAGCCCAGAGACATTCAGTCTTGTGCCTATAGTTACAAGGCTGTGAAGTAGCTAACTTGACTCTTAAATTGTTTTTACTGTGCCACAGGCTGGCATATTTTTCTGCTTTACTTACAACGATATTGAGAATTGTTCGTTCTTTCTTTCTTTCTCTTCCTTCCTTCCTTTCTTGTTTGAGGGTTGTTTTTGTTTTTTTTTTTTTTTTGAGACAGGGTCTTACTGTGTAGCCCAGGCTGACCTCAAACTTGTGGTAATCCTCCTGCCTCAGCCTCCCAAGTGCTGGGATTACAGGTGTGTACCACCATGCCAGGCGAGAGTATTATTTTCATTTGTTTAAAATCTGTATACCATGAGTATAGATTTCCTCAGAAACACCCTATCAAATGATCCATCTGCTGTTATGCCCTTTGTACTCAGCACAGTGCCTGACCCACAGTAGGTATTCAAGTGTTCGTTGAATAAGTGCCTCTTCTGGTGATCAACACTTTTATTCCCAAATACTTATGAACTGTTTATTCAGTACCATGTTGAACAATCCATATATAACTATAAAATCTCAAGTGCTTAAGGTCCTAATTTCTTCTTTCCCAAATATAATGTTTTCATTTTCTGTTAGTGGCTGCTTGTCAAATAATTTTGTGGCTCTGTTTTTGCTGGGTAAAGAATGAACTCAAAATTTGATGTTTTGCATGGCTTTAGGTGGATCAGTATTTCTATCTAGTATCACTTTTTTTCTGCTAAAGGACGGATACTGCATATTTGAGAGTGATGAATTCTTTAGCATTTTATGTCTGAGGAAGCCTTTCACCTTTGTTTTTCAAAGGCAGTTTTTGTGGCTATAGAATTTGAGTTTGGCATGTTTTCCCTTGCAGCTTTTGAAAGCTCCTGTCCCGTTGTCTTGTGCTGTGCCTTGTGCCCAGCAGTGATCTTCGGTCGCCTTTGATTCCCATGTGTGAGATGTAGGTCTGTCGAATTCTTAAGATGCTCTGTCTCAGTTTGAGCAGTTTGATCATCATGTGCTTTTTTGTTATTGTTGTTTTCGTGGTTCTTATATTTGGGTTTCGTCAAGCTTCTTATATCTATGCGTTTATAGTTTTACCGCCTTGTTTCTTTACATATCTCCTCCAATCTCCCCCTTTTTCGGGACTCCAGTTACAGGTACATTAAGCAACTTGACATCATCACACAGCTAACTGATGCTGTGCTTACAGTTTTCATTCTTCTTTCTGGATTTTGCATAGTTTCAATTGCTCTGTCTCCAGTTCATTAACATTTTCTTCGAAAATATCTAAACTACTGTTAATCCCATTCAGTGTAGTTTTCATTTCAGACATTCCTGAAGTTTAATTCATGTCTTTATGTCATCATGCTTCTGCTTAGTGTTTTGAACAGGTGTGTCTTTTAAATATAGCGTTTTCTGTTTGTTTGCTTTTTGTTTTGAGATGGTCTCTCAGGCTGATCTTGAACTCACTATGTAGCCCAGGCTTGCCTCCAACCCCAAGCAATCCTCCTGTCTCAGCCTCCTGAGTGCTAGGATTACAGGGCCACCATGCCTGGCTTAAATTTAGTAAGTGTTTTGATGTTCATTTCTGTGAATTTCCACCTCTGTGTCAGTTCTGGATCATTTTTAATCATGGATATTTTTCATTATGGCTGGGAACTTTCATTTAAATGTCAGATTATGAATTTTATTTTGTTATATGCTAGATATTATTCCTATAAATATTCTTGAGACTTGTGCTGTTCCGTGAATCCTTTCAGATTTTGTTTTTAGCATTTATTGGTAGGACCAGACCCATTTAGAGCTAATTTCCCCATATTTTTTGAATACCCAGTTTTCCAGTCTGGCTGGTACGAACATGCACTGTTTCTGGCACTGTGTGAATGCTGGGTTCTATGTCCTCTTATTTTGTGTGTGGTCCTTTTCTTGGCCTGTGGGTTCCTCCTAACCCTACACTGAGCAGCATTCTGTTGGTACTGGAAGTGTCTTCTGCAAGGTCTAGAATTCCCCCTTTGCACCCTGTCCTTTCCAGAAGTGTGTCCTTGGAACCGCAGCTGCCTAGGCCTCCTCATCCTGTCACCTCCACCCATCAGCTCCGATGTCTGCTGGGTTCTGCCTGGGTTGCCCTCACCCACCAGGGTGGCCTGGAACTAAGTGATACCTTGCTCAGGCCCTGTTTCCTATTTTCTTCAGGGAGCACTGTCCTTTGTTACCAGAAGTTCCATATCTTCAAAACTGTTGTTTCATTTTGGGGATTTTTTTGTTTTTGGTTTTGGAGGGGGGACTTGTGTTTGATTGTCTTAGTTTGTTGTGGTTTCAAACGTGGGTAAATCTGTCCTTGTTACTCCATCTGGGCTATAAGTGGACTTCTCTTTGGTCTCTCTTTGAGTTAGAATCAGTGGCTTCTGAGATTCCTTTCAACCCTAAGATCTTTGATTTTTATATTATGTACCCTTTACCAGATCCTTTTTCCAACTCCACTGTATAACTTTTTCTCCTCAAAACACATCACTGTCTGTGTCTGTATTTGGAAGGTTGGCCAGATTAATTCTGGGGCTATGCATGAACCATGCTTATGATATGAACACATTACACAGAATGATGGTGAGCAGAGTGTAACAGCAGAAAAGTGGGTATATTCTCTAATATTCTGTGTATGTGTTACTGGGTATTGAACCCAAGGCTTTGCTCATGCTAGGCAAGCAGTCTACCAACTGTGTTATGTCCCCAGCCCTTCTAAGTTCTTAACATACAATCATACCTTAGTACTTGACTGCTTTGAAATTCCTTGAATTTGGTACTCAATGCATTTTAACACAAAAAATTTGTCCCAAAATGTGTCATTCTCTCACCATCCAAACTGGGCAGATGTGTCACAAAGCCAAAGAATGAAATTATGGACAAAGGAGGCAGTTAAAAGCAGTGCTGATTGAAAGTAGAAGAAAAGAGAAAGCTCTCAGTAGTTGGAGGAGTCTAGAAAAACAATTACCAAGTGGGCTTTTTATCTAGGGTCTCTTACGTCAAGATGGCTAAGTCCCTGGCCATAACAGGTCAAGGTGGCTTATCCTCTAGAGTTTGGGTGTGGACTGTCCACGCGCTTAGGTGACCTGTAGAGAAACAACACACAGTGGCCATGCACTGGTCACACACTCTTTGGCCAGTCGGGAGTCTCGCTGTGTAATTAGGGAGAACAAGGTAATAGGAGGAGGGCGTTGGCTGCAGTGGTTCTCGTCCCTGTGTTTGCTTTTCCACTCCTGACTTAGCTGACTCTTAACACTGTGTACAGGCTGACCCTGACTTCATCATAGGCTCTGTCCCTTGCTGGCTGCCAGTTTATAAGCTAAATAACTAAACTACCTCTCACAATTTGTTTGGCACTCTGCACAAGCTACAACTTGTCGGTGTTGATGGTAACTCACTACCCTTTCCAGCCAAAACAGTTTGTTGAGTTCTCATGGTTTTGCTATGTGACATACTTCCCAGAACTGATTGAGGTGTGCCAAGCAAGGCACCACTGTGTTTAGAGCTGTGGCAGTCTAATCTTTTAGGACATGGCTAAAGAATTTCCTTCAAGAACGAGGCAAGTAAGATTTTAACTAAAATTTTTTATTTTTAAATACCTCCACAGAGCTATGCCACTAAAATTGACATTCTAAAATGATTGTAGCACCCTTTCTTTTTCCATTTCAGTGAAAATACTCGACTACATTATTCAGTAATATGTAAGGCACCTCAAAACCTGTATTTTAATTAAAGGAAGAGCAAGACCACCTAAGTTTTAATACTCCTGCTTAGTAGTTATATAAACCTATTTAATATTCATTTCTGAAGCTATTTTTCCTATGTAGATTAAAGCTAGTCTCAGTATTACACTAAGAGGATCATATAGAATATTCATAAAAATGTGTTTCAAGCCAGTGTATTTATACACACACGTGCATAGTGACAACACAAAACTTACTATTAAATGTGGTGCATGCTGGTATTTTCTGTTTTGTTGAAAAACCTTCAGTAGTGACCCATTCATGAGTCAGAGCTCACAGTAATAAAATTCATTGTCTGTATGATGAGATACCCTATTAATAGAAGGTGGTGGTGCTTAAATTATATGCTGTTAGTTCTGTTATCATGCTTCACTTCCAAAATGAGTATGTAGTATAGTTAGTAATGTCTGCCTTTTTTAATAGTTACAGGATTTGTCTCTACATTTTTAGTTCTAAACTTTTTCTTTACCAAATAGGCCAGTAATAACTTAGAAGAAGAGGTGAGGGGGAAGTAAAAGGGTTTAAGATGTGGTTTGTATATATATCAATTCCCCCAGGTGAATGTAATTATTATGTGTTGCAAACATATACTAATAAAAAACTTAGAAATTATTCAAAGAGAGTCAGGTATAGTGGCTCATGCCTGTAACCGACCACTGGGAGGCTGAGACAGGAGGATCACCATGAGCTCAAAGCCAGCCTGGGCTACATAGTGCGTTTAGGGCCAACCCAAACTACATAGCAGGATCCTGTTTAAAATAAATAAATAAAAAAGAATTGTTCAAAGAGTTGCCTCTAAGATTATCTTCTCAGTCGTGATATTCAAGTACTTTCTTATTCCTTAGCGTAAGATTGTGGTTGAAGCATAGTAAATTTCTAGAAATAATGTTAAATTTGTATCTTTATTTATAAATTAGATAGTATTTCTTAAAAGTTTTGTCATTTTTTCCCACATCTCCTAAACAAGATTTACTATCAGTAAGAAAAATGCTGTAACAGTAAGCGTTGTAGTGAATTAACTTTTTCAAGATACTAAATGGCCAAGGGGAGTTAAGTCCATTATTTGTGTTCTGTTGGCCATAAGAAGTTTCAGTCTGTCCTACAGTTGTTTAGATCTCTGCTACAAAAGACATACTGTAGCATTTTCCACAGTAGGCACCCAGGTTTCCTGATCCCTAAGGAAACTCTAGGTCTGACGCTCCCTAGTGGTCTCAGTGCTGGAGGAGCCGTCAGGTGGACCCTGCTGTCTGTCTCAGTGCCCTGCACTCTGTCAGGGTGAAAGCCTCCCTCCCTCCCTCTCCTAAGTTGACCTCATCTGATTTCAAGTTAAGAATCCTAATGTAAACAGGGAGCTCGCACAGCTGGTTGTAGCATGAAAAGTAGCGTATGATTTTATAAATTTATAAATTTTTAAAACTTTTTTCTCAATAGCTAGACATGATTAAAATATTTGTATTTCTTCTTTATACCCTTTAAACCTTTCCAGACTTGTAGGAGATTTGTTGCCCTGTAATACAGTGGAAAGAATTATGTGATCTAATGTTCAAATCATCTACCAGAGGACTTTGGATATAAAAATGTTTTCTTAATGTGTTTTCCAGATGTCTGTGACCTTTTCAAAATGCCCCCCCCCCAAACACACACAGACAACGCGTAATTTAAGGCTCCTAGATTGGTGAAGTTGAGCAATAGAAATTATTGAGGTTGGATGTTTAAACTGAGTAAATTAGAAGAAATATGAAAAAGCTATTTAGCACTATAAAGAAACAATATATATTCAGCTCCCAATGGTATATTAGTCAAAATAGTCTGTTAATAGTTATAAGCTATTTTAAAATTATTTTAAAATACTAGAATCTATGTAACAAACTAATAATTTTAATATTTCTTTGATTCAGGAGGTTATGGGG